TTGTTAAATTATTTTCATAAATAATAAAATTCATTACAGGATTTCAATTATTTTCAAAAATAACAAAATTTTTCATAGAAATTCAATACTTTTTAAACATTTAAATAAAACTTTTCGCAAAAATTCCCTTATTTTCATAAATAGTACAATTCTTCTCAGAAATTCAATTATTTTTTAAATTTTTTTAAAAATTGTTCGAAAGAAATCAATTATTTTCATAAATAATAAAATTCATTGCGGGATTTCAATTATTTTAAATAAAATTTTAATTATGTTTTTGAAATAATTCCTTTAGATTTCAATAAAATTCTTCCCAAAAATTCAATTATTTTGATGCATTTTAATAAAATTCTTTACAAAATTCAATTATTTATAAAAATAACAATATTTTTTTCAGAAATTCAATTCTTTTTAAACATTTTAATAAAATTTTTCGCAAAAATTCAATTATTTTCATAAATAATAAAATTCTTCTTAGGAATCTAATTATTATTGAAAATTTTAATAAAATTCTTAGAAATTATTCAATTATTTTCATAAATAATAAAATTCATCGCAGGATTTCAATTATTTTAAATAAAATTTTACAGGAATTGCTCAAAAATGTAATTATTCTTAAAAATTTAATTTCAATTCCTAGAAAAAACGAATTATTCATAAAAATATTAGAATTTTTCCCAGGAATTTAATTATTTTCAAAATATTTTTAAAATATTAGAATTATTCACAGGAATTCAATTATTTTCAAAATATTTTTAAAATATTAGAATTATTCACAGAAATTCAATTATTTTCAAAATATTTTTAAAAAATTGTTCGAACGAGATCAATTATTTAAAAAAAAATTCTAATTAAATTTTTTTGAAATAATTCAATTACTATTTTAGATTTTAATAAAATTCTTCCCAAGAATTCAATTATTTACATAAATAATTCTTCCAAAGAATTCAATTATGTCGATAAATAACAAAATTATTCCTGAAAATTCAATGATTTTGAGGTATTTTAATAAAAATTCTTTGCAAAATTCAATTATTTTGATAAATATCAATATATTTATCACAAGAATTCAATTATTTTTAAAAGTAATAAATTTCTTCATGGAAATTCAATTATTTTTAAAAATTCTAATAAAATCGTTCGCAAGAATTAAATTATTTTCAGAAATAATAAAATGTCTTTTAGGAATTCAATTATTTTCAAAGAAAATCTAATAAAATAACACACAGACATTCAATTATTATAAAAAATTTTAATAGAGTTCTTTGTAAAATTTAATTATTTTCAAACACTTTTCGCAATTCAATGATTTTCAATATCTACTATTTTTATAAAATTTCCAAATAGAATTCAATTATTTATAAAATCTTTTGTAAAAATCTTCGTAAGAATTCAATTTTTTCATAAATAATAGAAATTTCTCCGGAATTCAATTATTTAAATTAGAATTTGCATAAAATTACTCTAAAAAAATCAATTATTTAAAAATTTTTATAAAATTCTTCGCAAGAATTAAATTATTTTTATAAATATTTCAATTCCACTATTTTTACTTTATAAGTGTCAAAAATACTACGTTGATAAATCAGGATAATTTTCATAAAAAATTGTTCTATTGTTTTCTGTTTTTCTTTTTTTTTTGTTTATTGTTGATGTCATTTTATTTCGATGAAATAAGGTTAAGTGTTATGGTTGGCTTTTTTTCCCTGGTTTGAGATCGACAATTCAATGGTATGAAATCACAGTGGAATTAAGTATCGTAACAGTGAATTCAATGTGATAGTGGGTGGAATGTTTTCATTCCGGGTTCTATTGTGTAAACGCGTAAACGTTGAAATGCTGATGTGAAATTGTTTTTCTTTTTTGGGGTTCGTTAACCCACATTCATGTTCAGTTCCCGATCATTCAGGTATACTGTGCAAAATATATCCACTATATACTTTTTGACCTTTTCTCTCTCTTTTTTCTCTTTTTTTTCTCTCTCTCTCTCTCTCTCTCTCTCTCTCTCTCTCTCTCTCTCTCCCTTTCTCTTCTTTTTCTCTCTCTTTTCCGCTTTCTCTCTCCCTCTCTCTTTCTCCAAACTCTCGAATCATCTCTTCTATAGTTTATTTTGTTCGACTCGCGGATTTTGCCGATTTATCCTGTTTACTAACAATAGAATGCATTTTCCTTCCATGTCTGTGAATCCGAATTTTCTCGAAAATTCTGTGATTTCTCATGGAACAGTAAACTCGTTTTCCCCTTATACACATTTACTGTATATATATATATATATATATATATATATATATATATGTATATAACATGTCCGTGTTGTTTCCGTTCGTTCATCATAAAAAAAAAGAAATAAAACAAAAAAAAAAGTTACTCTACTATAATTAACTTTATTTCACGTTTAAAATGGAAAACGGACAAAAATGCCTTCAAAAATGAGAATATATAGCTTTAGGCTGTTGTTTTTCATCAAACTGGGAAAAACTGAATTTTTAGTTATATTTCGACAAGCAAAAGTTGCCAGGTAGATATTTCAGAAAACAACCCTTATATATATGAGAGATATATAGCAGTTGGAATATATTTAATGTTTACCTAGTCTAAGGGAAAAACAGTTTTCACGTTCTCTTTGCTCATTGTAATTAACTTTATATGAAGACTCTGTCGAATTCGTTATTTATATACCACCCCTTTCTCTCTATCATCCTCCGTTTTAATCCTTGGAAAATGAGACCGGAAATTTTCATAATTATTTTCTTTTGTTAATTAAATGTACTTTGAATAATTTATGAATTAAATAGTACGGAGAATATTGATAATTATAATATCATGGTTGCCACAGAGCAGACTTTCAATTTTTAAAAATTTTTAATACAATATTTTAATGGAATTCCTCAAAAAATATAATTATTTAAAAAATTTTTTATTAAAATCCAGCAAAGAAATTCAATTATTTTAAAAACTTTTGCTACAATTTATTTATTACAATTTAAGTATTATTTTCAATACATTTTTAATTAAATTTCTTCAAAAAAATTGAATTATTTTCAAAAATAATTCAATTCTTTGTAACAATAAAATTTTTTTCAAAATAATTTTCATAAAATTCTTTGTAGAAATTTAATTAATTTCAAAAGATTGTCAAAATTGAATTATCTTCAATGTCTACTATTTCAATAAAATTTCACAAAAGAATTGAATTATTTAAAAAAGATATTTTAATAAAATTCGTCTCAGGAATTCAATTATTTTCAAAAGTATTCTAATTCTTCGCAGAAATCCAATTATGTTGAAAAATTTACAAAATTACAATTATCTATATAAAAAATAAAATTCCTCTCCGAAATTGAATTATTTTCAAAAAATTTTTTCAATTCCATGATTTTTAATTAGTCTACTATTCTAATAAAATGTTTCAAAAGAATTCAATTGTTAAAAAAAAATTGTTTTAATTCTTTGGCAGATTTCAATTATTTTGAATTTTTTAATAAAATTTCTAGATAGAATTTAATTATTTTTAAAAAGTTTTAAAAAAAATTCTGAAAAATTCAATTATTTAAAAAAATTTGAATAAAATTCTTCGCAAGAAATTAATTAATTTCATTCTTTCTCCGGAATTCAATTATTTTCACAAATTTTCGTCAATTCCATGATTTTTAATTAGTCTCTACTATTCTAATAAAATGTTCTAAAAGAATTCAATTATTTAAAAAAATTTTTTTTTATAAAATTCTACACAAACCTTTAATTATTTTCAAAAAATAATAAAAATTTCATAGGAATTTCATTACATACAAATTTTTTTTTTAAATTTCTTTGCAATCATTCAATTATTTTTATAAATAATAAAATTTTTACAGGGATTGAATTATTTTCGTAAATAATAAAATTCTTTTTAGGAATTCAATTATTTTCATAAATAATGAAATTCTTTTTCAGGAATTCAATTATTTTCATAAATAATAAAATTCTTTTTTAGGAATTCAATTATTTTCACAAATAATAAAATTCTTTTTTAGGAATTCAATTATTTTCATAAAAAATAAAACTCATTTTAGTTAGATAATTGAATTCTCGTAGAATTTTCTAATAAATATTGATTTAAAAATCAATTAAAATTTTAAATTATAATTGAATGTTGAAAGCAATAATTATAGCGTGGATTTTCAGAAAGAATTGAATTTTCAAAAGGTGTCAAATTAAAATCTTTGAAAATTTGAACTTTTCATATTTTTAATTATAAGAATTCTGTAGAATTAATTTTTTTCAAAAAGTTTAATGAAATTTTTTTTAATTATTTAAAGTTTTTAATTTTCCTAATACATTTAATTGAGGACTGTCAGAATAAATGAAATTTTATAAAATTAAATTGTAAAATATTAGTAATAGGAATTGCAAAAAATTATATTTAAAAATTTATTTTTTAATAATAATGATATTAATTTTATTTATTTATATTTTGTATTATATTATGTGTATATGTATAATATATGTGGAACGTTAATGAATCTATTGAACCAATTTGCATGTAAATTGGATGGGTTAAGTAGGACTTTACAAAGTTTCTGAATTCGATGGTAATTAGTGATTAATTTCGAAAGTTTTGAGAATTTCGAAAAGTATTGGTCGTAATTATTACTATATCCGATTACTGCTATTCGAAGCAAGAAATTTGAATTCAAGTGTTATTGCATTGTTTTACTGTAAATAAAATATTTAATTCAATTAATTAATTAGAAACTAAAAATTAGAAACAAAAAAAAAATCGACACGATTGAATTAAAAAAAAGACAATTTTCCTAAAGTTTAAAAAATCCAAGTTTGCGTTGGTCGTGGTTGTTAAGTGTCTGATTTTCAAGTCCGGCGTTCAGAGTTCGAACCCCCGTAGATTTGATTTGACAAGTAATCGTTTATTCGTGTTAAATAATTTTTTTTCAGTTTAATTTCAATATTTACTTCTTTTTTTCTCTTCTGTTTACTAACCAATGATTAATTTGTAATTTCAGGCGTAGTTGGAGTTCGGAGCATTGTCATGGAGTGCCGAAAGGGTCGACGGAAAGGCATTCTTAGTAGTTTGCTTTTCGCATGGCTGTTAACCAGCGGTTGCACTGTCGCCGCGCGAAGCATGGGTAAGTCAACATTTTTTTCTTATTTTCACAGTTAAAATTTCTTTCATTCAATCATTTAATTAGTTCACTATAATTTCCCTCTAATTATAATTCGAAATTTATTAATTTACCTAAACTTTTAATTACAATTTTCCTCTGCAATTGCAATTAGAAAATTACTTTAACTTTCAATTATTATTTTCTTAAAATTACAATTAGAAATTTATTTTAATTTTTAATTTCTATCTAATGATGAAGTTTATTAAATTAATTTTAATTACTTCGAATAATGATTAGAATTAGAAAATTAAATTTTCTATTATAATTACAGAATTAGTTCAATTTACATAATTAGTAAAACTTTTTTTTTTAGAGTGTAATTAAAGTTAGAAATTACTTAAAATTTTAATAACAATTTCCTCCAAATAATTTTTTTTTTATTCTAATACAATAAAAAAATGATTTTAATTTCCAATTATAATTTTCCCCTTCAAAAGGGGAAATAGAAGATGAGAAATGATCAGAAATTGATCGTGAAAATTGCCTCGCGGTTAAAAAGGAAAAAAATTGGGAATCGCGCTCTTCTTTTGATAAAAAGAAAAGTAATAAATCTTTGAGTGTGTTTATTCGTTGTCATTTCGCACACTCTCGTATGCACACGCGATGGGGGAAAAAAAAGAAAAGGGAGAGTTTACCGGATGAGTCCCATGGGAATAGGGCCATTTGTATACCTTACTCACTTTTTTACGAGAAATTCTATTCGCATTCGACTTTTGTCGTCGAAACATTTATTGAAAAGCAAACACAGTGGTGTATGGGTTGTTTAATAACGAGGATGAAAGTAGCCTAGAGAGAGAGAGAGAGAAAGTGGAGGAGGGTGGTTGAGATCAAAAAGAGGGGTTGAGAAAAGGTAAAATCTCCCTAGCGTGAGTACAAGATGAGAAAGTGAGAGAGAGAGAGAGAGTCCCTTGTTCGATGATTGCGGAATTATCAACGCAACATGGTGGAGAGTGCGGTTACGCAAAACGCGGAGCAGTGATCCAAAAAGCTGGCAACTTAAGAGAGAGAGAGACCCCTTTTGGAGCGCTGATGCAGAGAGCGATGATACACGGGGGCAGGAGCATTAACGAGCGGTGTGCGAGGGTCTTGAGCTCACAAGGGTTCGCGAGAGGAAGGTAGAGAGAAAGGATGAAGGTAGTGAGCGGAAAGTTGAAGCGAGAGAGGGTCTCTATTCCTTGGCGATTATCGTACACTTGGCTGGGTCCAATCCAGTCGCGCCACATCCACCTTTTCTACTTCCACCGTCTCACTTCTTCATCTTCTGCTTCTTACTTCTCTCTCTCCTTTCTTCTTTCTCTCTCTTTCTTTTATTTTTTTTATTTTCTTTCTTCTTTCTCTCTTTTTTTTTATTTTTTCTCTTCCTTTTCTTCTTTCTCTTTGCTTTTTTCTTTATTTTCTTCTTTCTCTGTCTACTTTCTTCTTTCTCTATTTTTTCTCTTTTCATTCTTCTTCCTATGTTTTTTCTCTTTTCTTTCTTCTTTCTCTGTCTACTTTCTTCTTCCTATGTTTTTTCTCTTTTCATTCTTCTTTCTTTTTCCTATTTTCTTTCTTCTTTCTCTGTCTACTTTCTTTTTCCTATTTTCTTTCTTCTTTCTTTCTTCTTTCTTTCTTTTTATATTTCTTTCTCTCTCTCATTATTTCTTCTTTCTCTGTCTACTTTCATCTACCTCTCTGTTTTTTCTCTTTTCATTCTTCTTTCTTTCTGTTTCTTTTCTCTTTTCTTTCCTCTTTCTCTCTTTTTATATTTCTTTCTCTCTCTCCTTTCTTCTTTCTCTGTCTTTCTTTTTCCTCTGTTTTTTCTCTTTTTATTCTTCTTTCTTTCTGTTTTTTTCTCTTTTCTTTCTTCTTTCTCTCTTTTTATATTTCTTTCTCTCTCTCCTTTCTTCTTTCTCTTTGTTTTTTCTTTCTTATTTCTCTGTCTACTTTCTTCTATCTCTCTGTTTTTTCTCTTTTCTTTCTTCTTTTTCTCTTTTTTTTTTATTTTTATCGCTATTCTTTCAAATTTTTCTCTTTTCTATTCCTCTTGCCCTTTCTTCTTTTTTTCTCCCTTTTCCACTATACTCTTTCTCTTTTTCTCCTGTTGCAACTTGTTTTCTTCTTTTTCTCCCATCTTTTATTTTCATCTGTTTTTCCTTCTCTCTTTTCTTTAATTATCATCTTCTTTTTCTTTTTTTTCTGTTTTACCTATCATTCTCCCTTTTTTTTGTTTTTCATTTCTTCTTCTCTTCTTTCTTCCTATTTATTCTTCTTTTCCACCTATTATTTCCTTTTTTACTCTTCTTTTCTCTTTCTTCGCTTTACTTTCCTATATTTTCTTTTCTCTTTTTTATTTACTGAAAAAATAATTAGATATTGCACTGAAAAAAAAATTCTGCTTAAAATAATCAGAATTTTGGTACTTCCAACTGAAATTCTGGTTGAAAAGCATTTAATATTGTAATTTTTCTTTGAATGTCTAGAATTCTTCAGTAATTTTAACGAAAACATTGATTATTCCACCTGGAATTTTTTTTAAGTGTAATAATTAGGATTTTTCATTTTATTTTCATTTTTTCAGTGAATGAAAGAAAAAGAAAAAAGTAAACAATGAAAAGAAGGAAAAAAACAAGTAAAAGAAAAGAGATAAAAGAAAGAAAGAAAAAAAAAGTAATTTATTGTTTTTTTTTCTCAATCTTTAAAATTTAAATAATTTGCTTTTTCTACTAATTAAAGTGTGCAGATTTCTTTACGAATTCAATAGTAAAGATTTAACTAATTTTTTTTTAGTTAAAAAAGGTGCGAATTTTATAGGAGAAAAAAATTATTCTAATTTTTAATTAATAAATCAATTTTCTATTAAAAAATTTTAATTTATACTTATAGTAGAAAAATGTACTAATTTAAAATTAAAAAAATTACTGAGCTTATAGTAGAAAATTATACTAATTCAATGGTAAAATATTTATTATTTGAAATAGTGAAAATTTAGTTTCCTCAATAAATATTTTACTGTCAAATTAGAATTTTCTACTAAAATTAGTAGTTTTTGTACTAAAAATCTGAAGTTTTCTGAAAAAATTATTAGTCTTCTCACTAAAAATCTGTAGTTTTCTACTAAAATTAACAGTTTTTTTTACTAAAAATTTGTAGTTTTCTACTAAAATTAGCAATTTTTTTTATTATAAATTTGTAGAAACTACTAAAATTATTAGTCTTCTCACTAAAAATCTGTAGTTTTCTACTAAAATTAGCCGTTTTTTTTTACTAAAAATTTGTAGTTTTCTACTAAAATAAGCAGTTTCTTTTATTATAAATTTGTGATAACTACTAAAATTAGTAGTTTTTTTTTACTAAAAATCAGCAGTTTTCGACTAAAATAGGTAGTTTCTTAACTAAAAATTTGTAGTTTTCTACTAAAATTAGCAGTTTTTTTTACTATAAATTTGTAGTGATCTACTAAAATTAGTATTTTTTTTTTACTAAAAATCTGTAACTTTCTACTAAAATTAGCATTTTTTTAAACCAAAAATCTGTAGTTCTCTACAAAAATAGCAGTTTTTTTTACTATAAATTTGTAGATACCTACTAAAATTAGTTTTTTTTTTAACCAAAAATCTGGAGTTTTCGACTAAAATAGGTAGTTTCTTAACTAAAAAATAAAAATCTGTAGTTTTCTACTAAAATTAGCAGTTCTTTTTACTATAAATTTGTAGATACCTACTAAAATTAGCATTTTTTTTTACCAGAAATTTGTAGTTCTCTACTAAAATTAGTAGTTTTGTACAAAAAAGTCAGTAGTTTTTTTTTACTAAAAACTAGTAGTTTTCCTTGATCAAAAACAAGAATTTTTGTCATTAATAAATCGGTAATTAAAATTTTCTACTAAAAGTTATTAGTAAAATTTTTGTCATTACCTGAACCAAGTGATTTTCGATTTTCAGCTTCAACGCTAATATTTTAGGGACCACATTTATCCCCTACTTAGATTTTTCTTCTTCAAACTTTCTTTTCTTTGATTCTCCCCCCGGAATATGAATCCAAGCATTGCGGAAAGATAAATCAAAATCGCTCGTTTTGCTCGCTTCAATTCACAGCGGCTTAGTCGGCGGCTTTTTCTGCGTTCTACATCATCGTCAAGTTAAATTCTGCCTTACCGACATTTGTTTGCACACCAAAACGATTTTTATCCTTAAAACTCATTTCTTTCTCTCTCTCCCTCTCTCTTATTAGTAAAATTATTTATTAATTTACTTACGTAAATTTATTAGTCAAATTATTTATTAGTTTACTTACGTAAATTAATTAGTAAATTTATTTATTAGTTTACTTACGTAAATTAATTAGTAAAATTATTTATTAGTTTATTCAGTAAATTTATTAGTAAAATTATTTATTATTTTATTTAGTAAATTTACTAGTAAAATACTAATAAAGTATTTTACTATACTAATTAAGTGAAATTACACTTTTATAGTAAATCTCACTTTCGAAAATAGTAAAAAAAATTTCTAAAAATAATCATCAATTCTAAACAATTCGAGTCTTCAGAGTTTTTTTTAAGGATATCAAATTGAGACAAAAAGCGAATCAAAACTGTTGCTTCGCAACACTTTTCATTCGCTTTTTGTCTCAATTTGATATACTTAAAAAAAAACTGTGTTACCAAAAAAGTATAGTAAAAGTTACTCTACTCGTTTTCTCCGCATATATAAATTATTATAATTCGAAAATTTTTCAACCTGGTGAATTAGAATTGGAAATGTCTTTTCGCTAATTACGTCTCGTCATCGTGACCCAAGAGAGAGAGAGAGAGAGAGAGAGAGAGAGAGAGAGAGAGAGAGAGAGAGAGAGGATCCACCAAGAGAAAAGCTAATGGAGCAGATAAGGCATCGTGTCACCAACACACAACCCAAGTCAGTTTAGCAGTAACTAGCGAGTGATCTGAGTGACCCAACGACGTGACCTAACCACGACCTTACGAC